GTTAGTGTGTTATAGGCTGTTAGTGTGTTATAGGCTGTTATTGTGTTATAGGCTGTTAGTGTGTTATAGGCTGTTATTGTGTTATAGGCTGTTAGTGTGTTATAGGCTGTTAGTGTTTTATAGGCTGTTAGTGTGTTATAGGCTGTTAGTGTGTTATAGGCTGTTATTGTGTTATAGGCTGTTAGTGTGTTATAGGCTGTTATTGTGTTATAGGCTGTTAGTGTGTTATAGGCTGTTATCTTATCTCTTCTTTGTCCTCATCGTCCTATCCTCTGTAGTTTCTTTACAACATTTTATTGCTGCCTACTTTATGACTGTGTATTCGTTGGTTAAAGTTTATGTGTTCTCTTACACACGCACGCATTATACTCGTGCATAACCGTCTAAACAACAGCAAACATCAGCGTATATACAAACATTATTTTCTTGCTTCTGTTTAACACACATGATATAAAATATAGAATGGACTCATGGATGACACACACGCACACACACACACACACTAAGAAAATGTGGTTACGTAAATCACAGTAACACGAGGAGGGCGTCATGTCACCAGCAGGAGGTGGGCGTCATGTCACCAGCAGGAGATGGGCGTCATGTCACCAGCAGGAGGTGGGCGTCATGTCACCAGCAGGAGGTGGGCGTCATGTCACCAGCAGGAGATGGGCGTCATGTCACCAGCAGGAGGTGGGCGTCATGTCACCAGCAGGGAGGGGCCGCGCCACGCTAGCCTCCTACACTCGTCACACACCAACAATTACCGTGTTGTCCTCCTGCTCCACAACCTCTCATTTGGCATTGATTGTTGTTGTGTTTCATCTCTCTCTCTCTGTCTCCTTATCTCTGTCTTTCTTTCCGGTTACCTTTCTTCCTTTTTATTTGTCCCTGTGTCTCTATATCTCGTTTCTATCTGGCATTTTTTTCCCGGAGAGTCAACGAGGTCCTGGGTCCGGCCCCCTCCATCACCCCTCACTCAGGCAGCTGCACGCAACGCTTCCCATCATCAGCCCTCAGCCAGGCAGCTACTTGGGGCTATTCCCATCATTACCCCTCACTTAAGCAGCCGTTTAAGAAATATTCCCATCATTAGCCCTCACCCAGGTATACGAGTATGACGAAGCTATCCCATCCCCAGCCCTCAGTCAGGCAACTGCACGAGGCTCCCATCACCAGTCCTCCACACTACAATAGACCGAGACTCTCCCTCCCTCCCTCCCTCTATATTAAGCCACACACTGAGGGATGATGTCACAATGACGACTAAATGAGAGCGGCTGATGTGTCACGGACCACCAGTCTTCCCCCACGACCCTCCACGACCCCCACACAGACAGTCTATACCCTCCTCACCAGTCAGTGCCCCCCCTAACTCACGTCACAACTCTATCCCTCCAAAACTTCACTCTCACACTCACCATCCACGTCCTCCTCCTCCATTACTCCATCGTCTCACGTCATCACAACGCAACGTCCCCTTCACATGGACAGTTTTAATCATTCTCTCTCAGTCACACACGTTCTCTTATACATCACGCAGAGAATCTTAAATTTTTCCCCCAAATCTCAGCCTTCACTCCTGTGCTCTTTTGATCACGTCTGTCTTTATACTATACGTAGGACTTTAAGGCTCTTTCCACTTCTTCCTAAGTCTAAGGCTGTGGTACAAGGTCAGGTGGTACAACACAAGTGGTACAATGTTACCGTGTAGTAAATTATAATGTAATTCGCCTCCGGGAAATTATTCTGAGATACAAGTTGGCTTCAGTATTTTTTGTGAGATAAATCTGACACGTGTATTATATGACCGCGGTATAATTAGCCCAATAACTTTATCTTTTAATTACGATCATCATTAACGTCGTAACAGCCTCGTGTAATAAACTTTGTGTCTTACTCTCTATATTTTTTTCTTATAGGATCAAAGGAATACATTGCCACATAATTTTCTCCGTTTGTATGTCAGTATTACCACGATGAGGATGTTTATAGTAAATAATTATATATATATGAAGTCATTAATTAAAATAAAGAATTGTCATTTTTTAGGAGACTAATTTTCCTGATATTTACTGTCGATTTCAGCAATTTCTTACTAAAGCTAATTTACAAAGTAATTAATCGATCATAAAACCAATAGTGATTAAAGACGAGCTGGATTAAGTTTCAAGATTAACTGATATTCTTTAGAAAGGATGCGATCCCTTATCTGTTAATCTTAGTGGGATTATCTTGACATGTAGAAGATCATGCGAGGCAACAATAACAAATGAGGTATAGAACAATACTGAAGATCTCCAGAAACATCAATACACCTCAGGAGAAACGGGAATCTTAAGCAGAAACAAAACTTTAATGCAATATTTAAGACCAAACAGAACCAACAATAGACAATCAAACAAATTATAAACATTAGAAAACTAAAACACTTTAAATTAACATCGCTTGAATAGATAACAATACAAGACCCCAGTGTGAGCTTGAGACTGATGGTGTAGCCAGATAATGAGAACAAATCCAGACATTACATCACTGACGAGAATATATAAACCCCATAAGGCTTGATATATTATGTGGACTTAAGTAATATAATAAATGACTCAGATAACTTTAATCACGAGTTATAATAATAAGCCAGGCTAATTACGACAAGTTAGACAGTTAAGTAATAAGAGGAACTATCTGGATACTTGATTAGATATACGATAAAATAAACTAAACTATAGCCTTACTTATGACTCTGGGTTCAACACACGGAATGTAGTCACTAATAGGCACTATGTTATAACCATGGTCGGCTATAAGACACGTTAGAGTGGTAGGTGATAAAAGATTCACTGTAATAATATCTGTTCAATTAAGCTCCTCGAGGTCTCGTAGTTTACCTCTGGACAACAACCACGAATTCATACACAACTCCACTGATTATATGTGGCAGGAATTAACTACTACACACAAGTAAACGTCAGCTTCACTTCATGAACACTTAGTACTCACGACAAATACTTGGGCAGCGTTCAGTGGGGTGGAATAATCACTCAGGAGATCACAGACTAGACTGATGGCCGGCTCTACTGCCCCAGCTTAACTGAGCTTATTCGTATTCATCACACTATAGTATAAGAAACTCTGAGCAGGTTCACGGCACCAATGTCCTGATTGGATCAAAACACGGAATTGGTGAACTTGCAAACGATTGTCCCGGGCCGCCATAACAGTAGTTTACGGCATTGGGAAGGAGAGCAGCCAGATGTAAAGGGTGTAACCCCCCGTGTCCGGCGTGGGGAATTTCATATTTCATAAATATATAAGTATGTGACAATGGGGATAATCACCAATTAAGCTTTATAAAACAACTGATGTTCTGGTCAAATAGGGATAACTTTTGGTTTTTATTACTCGAACTAAATATAAATAAATTCGTAGATGGTAAATTTTGCTCCGTTTAGTTTAAAACATCGTTTATCATCAAAAGATCCAATTTATCCCTACAGTAGGTAAGGTGATAATTTAATAGAAATTCTAACCTACACGTGAGAAGGGTGTTATCCAGTGTGACCCTCACTACCAAGCACCACAGGTTCCCGGAGTTCGATTTCCTCCCGTACTAACACTGAATAGACCAATCGCCCGAAAGGCTGGTCTGCTGATAAGTGGTGAAAATTATTTAAAAAAATCCTACCTAATCTAGTTTTGGTGTAATTTGGTCAACTAAGATTATTCCTGTAGCTTTCAGAAAATACAGGAAAAATTCAAAGCACAATTTTGAGAATAGGAGGCGGGGTACCGTTAAATAATGAGGCTAGATAGACTGGAGGAGTAGGAACAACCAGACAGTTGCGTGGGAGGATAATCTGCTGCAGTTATGCCGGTTGGGGGAGGGGAGGCGGGCACTGTTACCAGGGTCACGGGCGGAGCTCATAGCACGTAAGACACATATAAGAATAATAATGTGACTTAGTTATCTTGGGCTGAGGAGACTGTTCTAAGATCAGGACGGGTGAGACGGAGTGGGGGTGGTTTGGGGTGGTGTGGGGCGGTGTTATAAAAGTTTATCTAAAATCCCCAAAACTTTGCCATTTGTGGAGTCAGGATGAAGGGATTATGTTCTGAACTGGAAGAAATTTATTTTTTGATGTTAGTGACGTATTTATCTTAAGAGCAACAATGTTTTTTTTATTAAATCTGATAGTGGTTAATTATCCTTATGTAATAAAGATCGAACCAATGTGCTGATCTAGGTTTCTTTGTAAATACAGAAGGAAAATTATTCTACACTGGGGTAAATAATTTGTAAAATGTCGACAAAAGTGGATGGGTCGAAGATGAAGTTTCATGCGGAGTGGAAGTAAAACCCCTTCAAATCACTCCAGTAAACTCCATCATAGAGACAAATGGCCTATGTCTGGGAAGAAGAGGAATCGATTGACAACACCCAGAAGAACATACTCAGAACACTAGCAACCATATCATACCTCTGATCTCCGGTTTCCACTCTGGGCCTCAGGTCTGCACCATCTCCCCTCCTCTGCGTGTGTAGGTGTGAGACAAGGCCAACATGCAAGCGTGGCACGAATAATTTGGGAGGTGCTCACAGTATATCCATTCTGTCAGGCGATGTTTTTACACGACTCTGCGCGACAAGAAACAGAAATTTCATATAATAAGAATTCTGATGTTTTTACGATCTTCAAAATAGATTAAAGTGTAATAAGTTTGTTTTCTTATTTTCTTTAATATTTTTCGTCTCAAGTATTTTGTTTGGCTAAATTTTAACAGATTGCTGATTATATTGTTTGTTATTAATTGTACCAGTGCTGATGGTTGACACAGCAGATAAATGAGGTTCATGTGGTACTGGCGCTACGACCACCATTATATCAACCACCTCCAACACGACTCAAGGTTCTAACACAACGACTAGCTCTAACACAGCTCACGAATCACTCATGTGTATCTCAGTTTAAGTTCACAAGAAAGGAAAATTTGCAGGCAAGACATTTAAAGAAAAAACAGTTTATTAGAGATTTATAACACACAAGACAAGACTCACACAATGGCTGAAAACAACACAAGAGGAACAACAATTCTACATTAAAGGTTGTTGTAAATATAACCTCCAAAGAGTCACAACAATACGGATAATTTATCATATCACACGAGTACAACAATCAGGTATGTTATTGCACTTAATACAAAATGTAGGATTGTATCTATTCACTTCTCTCATATTACGATCAATATTTCCCACCTCTATTTTATTAAAGTAGTTTGAGGTTTTACATTGACCATAAATAGCTCACTGTGTCACCTTACGTTCATGGAAGGAATTACTATAAATTCAATGTTTATGTGTCATCAAGATATATCAAAGACTCATTAATTTTAACAAGAGCTGATAGGTAGGGCGAGTGAATGAGTCGAGACTAAATAGGACAAACGTCAGGGTCAAAGGTCAAAGGTGAAATAGAATAGTCAAATGTGAAGAAGGTATGAATGTAGGAGTTACTCGTCTGTAGAATGAAGGAAGACCTTAGCAGTGACAGATAACAGACCCAGAAAAAGCAACGTCTGCGCCCTTGCCAATAGCCACCACCTTCGTTAAATTTTATGACCAAGGTAAACTATTTTTTTATTGTTCCTTCCCAGACACTATACTTGATGCTGCGTTTATAGTGTTCCTGTTATTGATATTTATAGTGTTCCTGTTATTGATGTTGTTTATAGTGTTCCTGTTATTGATGTTGTTTACTTTTGATAACGTTGAATTTTTGTTGTTTTGAATGTTATTGTTGATGAGGATATTACTATTGTTATTATTGCTCAGGTTACTGTTGTTATATTGTTGTGAAGGATACTGTTGTTGTTGTAGGTGTTGTTCCTTCTTTTCTTCTTCACTTTCCTTTACTTCCTTCTCTGTCATTCAACATTCTTCTTATTCTTTACAATTTTTCGTCTGTCTTTAGTATTATTTACACACTGTATTATGACGCTTTTCTTCCTCTTATTCTTCCTCCTCCTCTTACTACTCCTACTCCTACTCCTCTTCATCGTCGTCTTCATCGTCGTCCTCCTTAATTCCTAACATCGTGATCCTGGAAACAACAGATGACAGTCGGTGGAAGGCGGTGGAGGTGGAGACGGTCACACCCTGCAGGTGAATCACTTTGACTGATCCATCCCGGTCACCCACCACTATGTTCTGGAGAGAGAGAGAGAGAGAGAGAGATATTCAGACCATTTAGTATATAAATAACACATCAGATACAATGTCTTCAGATTTCGTCAACAGAGGAAAGTAAAACTAGACTTAAAGAGGACAATAACCAACAAAAATAATGAGGAAAAGAAAAAAAATATTACAGCGTGTGTGTGTGTGTGTGTGTGTGTGTGTGTGTGTGTAAAGTGCAGGGTGTTTTTTTTAATAAAGGTGTTGATTGGTTTTTATTACACGTGTTGATTTTTATTACATGTGTTGTTTTTTTATAACAGATGTTGCCAATTTTTATTGCAGGTGTTGTGACTTGTACATGGCCTTCATCGATCTTTTTATAAGGCCATCGACTTGGTCAACAGGGGAGACGTCTTTGGCGGACTCTCAGCCGTTTTGGCTGCCCACCAAAATTCATTGCCAATGTGAGGCAACTCCACGATGGCATGAACGGCAGTGTCCTGCACAATGGCACCCTGTCGGAGTTCTTCCCCATCCAAACACGGGTAAAACAAGGATGTGTACTGGCACAAACTCTCTTTTCCCCTTTTTTGGCTGCCTTACGTACTCGTGCCAGTGCCAATTTTGCCGGCAGGGTGGACATCCAGTATCGGATGAAGGGACAGCAAAGTAGTAGTAGTGTGTCTGTGTGTGTATGTTTTTACACAAGTGTTACATGCCCTGGTGTTACATACCCTGGTGTGGGGGCTGAAGGTAACGCAGGTAGCTCCTGGGTGTGGCTGGATGAGGATGGGCGTGTGGGTGGAGAGAGAGATGTCCCACAGGTGGAGGCCGCCGCCGTGTACGCCAGCTATCAGATTGCCATACCAGGGACACCAACAGGCGTCTACGTATCCGTCCGGACTTGATAACACCTGGAGAGTTAATGTTATTGTGAAAGTCTTACCAGGAAGAGTAAGGGCACCGTTTGTTGTTTTTCTTTTATCAACTGTTTTTACCTTATCCATCTTTGTTCACCATTACTCCCTAACGACTGAACTCATTCACATCTTACAACTCTTCTTTTTCCATTTCATTCGTTATTCCTTAAAGTTTCATTCGTCCTCTTATCAAACTCTTCATTCCTTCTTCTTTCACTTATATTTATTTATTATTTTCGTCCAATCTACTGTTGACTACTTGAAGGTAATCCCATTTTTTCAATCTAAACTTATTTTCTTTTCCTCATTTGTTGGTCGTTGCTGAAGTACAGAAATTCATATAAACAACAACGGTCCTTACACTCCCACACGACTCTTATGCCAGCCTTCAGTACAATGCTCTTCACACATTCCCTTAAGAATTCTATCTCCTTCAGTTCCAAGGCCACACTATTCAATTCCTCTCTCAGAATAATTTTAATATCGAGATCTATATTTTTTTCGTCTACTCAGCAGATAAACAAGTTAGTCATCCGGTTAATATGCTATTCATCAATCCAACAGTCAGTCCAAGGCATGTTATCTACACGGTCGTTCAGTCAGGCAGCTTTACTCCATCATACCTGTGGGTTCCTGAGGACACAGTGTGGCTCCTTCTTGTCCATATGCCACACCCTGATGGTGTCATCGAGGGCAGCGGAGAGGAAGACGTAGGCGGGGTCGGAAGGGTGCCCGGGGCGCCAGTCGAGGGCAGTAACCAGCCCCGTATGGCCCCGGAACACTGCTACGCTACCCCGACGCTCAAATGTGCGACACTGCCGGAGGTCCACATAGTGTTATAGGCACAAAGAGCATTCTGGGTGTTGTGTGTTGTAGTTCAGTTGAAGCCTTGACAACTTTACCAGAAAATAAGTAGTAATTGGGGTAAGTTTTGGTGGTTCCGACATTACCGTAAACAAAGAAAAGTAATTTATCTTTGAATTTAAATATTAGCATAATATTTTGTAAACTCTTAGAGAAAAACACTTAAAAAAGCTATAATTAAATATCACACACACACACACACGCACACACCATCAGCAGGTGGCCAGCTACGGTGCCCACGAGGTAGGTAGTGTTATCTCGTAGGCGGAACTTGAGGGTGGTGGCGGGCACACATTCAGGCAGAATCTGACTACTGCCGACCCCGCCGCCACCCAGCGACCCCTGAGTGTGTCCCGTGCCCCCCTGCATCACCTCCTGCACGCCACCCGCTATCTCCAGCGACACCCAGGACGGGACACACACCTTCATTAGAGCTGTAGGAGGCAGAAACACCAAAAAATTTACACTTCAACCAACTCAGCTCGGGTAGTTACTTTTGTATGGGGGGGTTGGAGGCCACGTATTATTAAGAAAAAACTGTAGAGATACTTTATGATATGCCGTAAGAAAGGGACAACATACCTGTGTCAAAGATGATCATTCTTAGACAAGCAAGTTATGAAAAGTTGGTAAATCATTTCAATAACTTATGATTTTATGCCAGACTAAACTTGTATAATATTTGACTTCTGTTTCACGATCTCTGTTTATATCTCCTTTTCATCTCCTATAACTTGATGACGAAGACATAAAACACCGCCACGAGCTTACTGGTACAGCGGATAATGTTGTTGTCGGCGAAGATCCATTCCTTGACCGTGCCGTCCTCTGAGGCAGACACCAGAGCCTGACTGCCCACCTTCTGCCACCCCTGCAGGAGATCAAAACACACACACACACATGTCACTCACTCTGGCTGTTGGGTAATACCTGTATGATGACCTCAGATGATAACTGTGTCAGGGGGACGTGTTTATCTCTCACGGCTAGAAGAGTGACCTTCTCGGGTTGTATATAAAGCACCCCAGCTTATATTACCTGGTAATTAAACTCTCCAATGTTAACCTAACCTAATCTAACTTAACATGATTTAAACTAACCTAACCTGATTTAAAGTAACCCAACCCGATTTAAAATAACCGAACCTAACCTAATCCCCTGGTAGCGTTTGAACCTCTCCTCTCCCCCACACACACCCTCATTACTCTCACCCCCCCTCCCCCTCTCTATCCTCGCACGACGGTATGTAGCCCAAACTGATAAAATCTTAATAAATAATAAAACCAAGAATTTATCTACCATAGTAACAATGTTGGGGAGGAGTATACTGTACCTGGGTGGTGGTGGTTGTAGTAGTAGGGTTGGTAGTAGTATTGGTGGTGGTAGTGGTGGTGGTGGTGGTAGTGTCCTCAGAGTCGTGGGCGTCAGGATGAGTGTGGGCGGGCAGGGTGTGAAAGGTCTGCCGCCACTCCACCGCCCACACAGGAGCACAGTGCTTATATATACTCCCGCTGATGGAGTAAACATGAGTAACAACACAATACATTACGATCATCAGAGTAAAATGTCTTATCAACTGAGTTATGATCTATTTTGGTGATTTAGTTGTACCTTTTTTGTGTTTATGATAACTTTAAGTACTTCAGGTGACACAAGAAACAGAGTGTACACAGTGACGGTGAACAGGATCAATTTGTATCACGTTCACCGTGTCATAAGATGTTGTTGTTGTTGTTGTTGTTGTACTCTTCCTCAGACCACAACACAGGTGGGTGACAGTACAGTAATAATCCTTTCAGACTAGAAGATGAAATGGGGTGTTCGTGTCACATAATCCCTCTGTGTGTGTGTGTGTGTGTGTGAATAAGTCATGAAACACTGTATAGTATTATTTTTGACAAAGAAGACAATTATGAGTGTGTTGAGTGACGGTGTGTTTACCGTCTCTTACCTTCCCAAAAGATAAAGTTATGAGGATTTGTTAATTTTAAGTATATACAGAAAACTTATATTTCATACTGTGATGAATATTATTACACTATTGGCCAAGATTTTAACCTTCATCCACCTGGCAGACTCACCTGGTGTCCATTACCAGCTGTGGGGGGGAGGTATCCAGCTGGTACACGTGAAGCGTTCCGTCCAGGAGAGCGACACAGCACAGCTGGGGCGCCCCTGGACACGAGCTGACTACTGTGGCCGGACCCGGCAGTGACAGCCTGGGGGTGTAGCAGGGGATTACTGGGGTACTGGTGGCCCCGGCAGTGACAGCCTGGGGGTGTAGCAGGGGACTACTGGGGTACTGGTGGCCCCGTTAGTGACAGCCTGGGTAATAGGGGGGGTTGCAGACTGGTAAAGAAAGCTGCTAGTGGATACCGAACATTTCCTGGGGACTTAAAGAAATGATAAAGTGTTGTTTGGGATTTTAATATTAATGTATGTTTGGATAATCTGGGGTTCTAGATATGATATTGACCTAAATTTAAAGGTAATGACCTAAAGTTAAGGGTACTGACCTAAAGTAATGGTACTCTCCTAAGGTTAATGGTACTCTCCTAAGGTTAATGGTACTGACCTAAGGTTATGGTACTGACCTAAGCTCCGGTTGACCTATTCTCTTAGCACTCCAGCCAGAGAGAAGCCCCCCGGTGTTGTGGGTGAAGGAGGGGCTACCGTAAGCCACCAGCAACAACCACTGTAACGGTCAAACTGCGTCACAGGTCGTTGCCTTGATGGTAATGCTGGCGAGATATAATATGTGTAATAACTACGGTTTATATACCTGGTGTCGGGAATACCGACTGATATTACTTCACATAGAAAAGGGTTACGAAATTTATATTTAGAAATGAAAAATTTGGGCGATAATGAGAATAAATCATGTTTTTATTATTGACTAGCAAAATTGTCCGGCTTCTTTCGGGTTAGGTATATGCTGTATGCCCTTGACTGTCAGAGTTTGTCCTCCCTGACGCGGGTAACCACCTCCCACACTCGCCGTTGTGGTATCTCAGTCACGGAAGATTTTTCGTTCTTGCTCAGACCGCCCGGGGGTCCATGGTCAATAGTAATACCAAGGTGCACAACCTTGGCGCTCAGGTGATATGTGTGTAAAGTTTCACGTCTCTAACTGCTGCACGTCTGGAGCTATGGCTGGAACTGAGACACACACACACACACACACACACCAGACACAGACACTAATGATAATAGTAATAATAAAAATAATGGTAATGATAATAACGATGATGCATGTTAGTATCATTGTACACAGATACTGGTTGAGGGAATATATGATTCAGAGGCAGATAGAGTAACTTGTGGTAAATATCAATTCCTTCGAGTTTCTTTAAGTGTAAGAGGTATTGGTACTGACGGGGGAGCTACTGCAGAAGGTGACGCCGTTGACTCTACAGCCGCTGATGGCTTCACACCAGTAGTGCCACAGTTCCTCCGCCCGACACCCCTCACCGTCGCTGTCACACCATTCGCTCGTCTCTGCCGGACACCAATACCTGTTATTCCCTTATTTATTGTGCCTCACCTGTCACACCTTTACCTGTTCTCTCCTTGTCCACATATATCATGACTTACCTCGAGGCGACAACTTGATTCTCACCCTTAATTACTATGAACTGAAGAGCTATAATGAGTGTAAATTCTTCATTAGGATACACCTGAACTCATCTTACCTGAGGTGATGAAGGTGTTATTGTATAGATAAAGTTAGGTTAAATATATTTTGTTTAGTAGATGAAATAGTTTTAATTACGTACTCTTATATATCAGAATGTCTGCTATTCTTGTAAGTACAGAATTATTGCAATTTCAGTGAATTCGGAGCTGCATAACTTATGAATATTTGTAATTTCAAAGATGGAAGAAACTAGAAATATTATACACATGCGAAAATTGCACGAGCTTATGGACCTTAGTTGCTGGGTCATCGACATGCATATAAACAACAATAATGTAGGTCAGAATGGCTACCTTACCTGTCCCGGGCTTGAGCCGTGTTTTCTGTTGCTGCGTCTGATGCACAGAGTCAGTGTAGGCGTGGAGGAGGTGAATGTTGGCGTTAGAGGAGAGTTGTCGCTCCACCCAGCCCAGACCTCGCAGCAGCCCTGACACCTCCACCCCGCGCACTCGATCCACTCTCTCTTCCACATCATCTTCCTCCTGCTGTTCCTCTTGCTGCTGCCGGGGAACACTCGTCAGCCGTCACTCGCTCTCATCACCACCCAGTTACTGTGACCACTCAAACGAGCTATCACCTCCATCAAGCAAATGAGTTGTCACCATTATTCAACGATAATACACACACACACACACACACACACACACACACACACACACACACACACACACACACACACACACACACACACCACAGTAATGAAACTTATTTTGTGCTTCCAGTGGAAATATAATGCACAGAAATAGGAAAACAACGTAACATAACAATATCATAACTTTAAATTTATAATATTTCCTCTCCTTTAGTTGCTTCCTCCATATATTGCTACATACCCAATCAATGTAAGCTTGTAAGATGATTTTATTGGATGAATATTTATCTATCTATCTATCTCGCAAGTTATATCTGGTATTTAAGATCAAAATTAGCCTGATGCATACGTCCATGTGTCCTTGGTACTCCCCGAGGTAATATTCGATCTCCATCCGAGTATCCAATCGAGACAACTCATCTTCCCGCTTTCTGTCGTCTGAGGATTGAAGAAAGAAAACGTTAACACATTAAAGGGTGACTTAAGGAATTTTGTATATCCGTATTAACTACCCAAGAACTGTTCTCGAATTATTTAAAAATCATAAATAATTATTTACTTACTAAGTCTTAGCTAAAATCGGAAAAATTGTGAAATTATATCAGTACACAGTACAAACACAGCAACACTAATCATGCGACGACCATTTTCCCAATTCTAGTTTGTTATTAACACAGGCTGTATTGTTAACCAACCTTACTGTAAACTATTCTAATCTATTAAACTTTCTGAGAGAGAGAGAGAGAGTGTGTTGAACTAGCTCTCTTGGAAACAGGAATAAAATGGGGGGGGGGGGGGGGTCAGTTTACACATAACAGAGCCAACCTTCACTTACGACGCCGCCAGCCAACCACTACCATAATGAAGGAGGTCAAATAATTGTCATGGTGAGGGTCAAACATATGGTAAGGAAGGGTCAAATATGGTGTGGTTGATGTTAAACATGGTGGAGACTGATGACTTCAGTATCCAACATGCGTTCTGATTGGTTGAAGCTGATGATGTCATTTTGTTTTGATTGGCCGAGGCTGCTGACATCATTACACCTGGGATGTTTTCTAAGTACCACATGCTGCTACATCATATGATCTATCGTTCAAAAATGACCCAAACTACATGTAGCTAACCTAACCTAACTTAAACATTTTACAAAATTTCCACGTAATCTTCCTCCCCATCATTTGAGGATCGCATGTAACAGCTTTATCTTGATCTAAATTAGTCATATACATTAGTAGTTTGTATTACAATTAAATCTCCGTCAATAATAGAGAGTAAAATAAGACAGGGTTAAAAATGGTTGCTGATCAAATGAAATTCCCATTTATGATTTACATAGCGATGTCATGTGGCGTCATCAGCCTCGACCAATCAGAACGAAAGCCGGACAGACAGCGGAAGTAAGTATCCGTGACTGGAAAGCTATACACTTCGATAAAACAAATTAATTTATAGTGATAAGGTCGAGCCATAGCTTCCCCTGACTCCATGATTTCATTTGTGATTAGAAAATAAAGAAAGAATGACGCAATATGTCAGTTAAATGTTATCATCTTTCACGTGTTTATTCCTACGTCTGTATAACTCACCAGTCTTGCGGTACTCGTCGTACATAATCCACTGTGTGGCCATACAGCTGTTGTCCTGCGGGTGAAGACAAAAAGGATAACTGTATTGGCTGAGCAAGAAGCTAACTGCTGTATTTATAAACAAGTGACACACGGAGGTTCTTATCCAATGAAAACACAAAGAATTTTATATTGAGATAAATATCCGGTAATATTTTGCTTTTAATCTCTTTCTTGTTATAAAAAGAAACAAAAAGTAGCAAAGTATTTCTGAAATTATTAAAGAGCATTCTAGAGTTATTTAAAGTGAGTAGAAATATTATTTTATGAAGTATCAACTAGGTTAGGTAAGGTTAGGTTAGGTTTGTGTGGGAGAGCATGGTAGCACTTACCCTGCTGGTGGTTGCACTCTTCTGGGTGGTCTTGTCCATGGTGTAACTGGGCACTGTTTGGCACGTCATCTCACGAGCTCTGACCGACCCGCTCTTACGCTTCTGTGAACGATGTGGCGGGTTAGTACTGTGCACTAGCTGGTACTGTACAGTTGTTAGTACTATGTGAGAGTTAGTACTGTACTCTCTCTCTCTCTCTCTCTCTTTTATTCCACCTCACTATTTTTTCCCTCTTTCTCTCACTGTTCCCCTGGGTAATCCTGACTGACATATAGCCTACTCTCTCCGCTGTCATCTGCCACTCTATCTAACTGACAGTGTTTCCCCGAGTCAGAATACCTACCACTACACACCCACTACTACCACACACAGCACCACACCCATCACTGCCACACACTCACCACACCCATCACTGCCACACCCTACTAAAACCGTACACCTACCACTACCACATACCTACCACACACACTCACCACACACCCATGACTACCACATATTCAACACACCCATCACTACCACACACTACTACCGCTACCACACATTACTACCAGCATACAATTACCACACACTCACCACACCATACAAGCAAATGAAATAAGATCATTAGAGAAATATTCAAATAATATAACAACGTGAAGTGAAATATATTAAGTAAATAGATTAGTTAATAAATAAAATAGCATAGAAATAAAATTTGAATTAATTTATCCCGACCGCCGTGATGAGTGACAGGATCAAAGAATTTCCTGCAACACTTGACTTCTTAGTGCGCATGACGTCATTAAAGACCTCGACGTATCACCAAGGACTTCACGATATTATTGATGATGAAAAAAAAAATCACTCGGCCGTCACACCTCACTCAGCTGCCTCACCATTCATCAAAAGTTAAACCTTTACAACAATAACCTAAATAAATTAAGCTGTGAGGAGAGAATATGACCGGGAGTGTTATAAATGGTAACGTCAACACCTGTGATAGTTCCCCGAGAGGATGATGATTATTTTTAGTAACCCCAGGGAGTAAATCACCTAGTTTGGAGGTTATTAAGACACGTTCTGGCCTCTGTGTCTGTGGAGGAGATTACGACGTTAAGGGTATGATATAGTGAGGTTAATAATGTTATAATGCCGAGTGTGTAGGAGAAGGTAAAAGACCAGAGTTAATGAAGCCTTAGAGGTGAAAACTGACGTGGAGGATTTAATGACGTGGCGAGATGGTCAGTTGTCGAGTTGTTTTATTTCTGACCAGATTGATTAAACTTGGTGTCCAATGATTATAGCACAAGTTTATTAAATCTTATATTCAGTTATTAAATTTATGAAAAAATATATAATTTCGTGTCTGGCTTAAGGCATCAGGAATAATAATACTGAATCACAGGTTGAAGGGTCGTGTAACCTCGGCTGGCATGTGGAAATCACCGGACCTGTACTGTTGTTGTTTCTGAATAAATGGTTTGAATTTCAATATACCTGTTGCAATGTTTACAAGGTATCAGGTATCAGGTACACACAGCCATATAACCTACTCAGTGATTTTTTTTAATACTGACTTGATAAACCGATCAGATGATCCTTTTATCAGACACTAACACTGACAGCTGGTGTAAGTGTCTCACCTGGCAGTAGTTGTTCCACTCGCTAATGAAAAGGGCAGCCAGGTGATCATTCTCATGCACTGACGTGTTCTCCTGGTAGTAAAGGTCCAGTGTTGGCGTCTCCAGCAGCTGCACCCGGAACAGTGCTGCGCCGCCCCACATGGTGGTCACCTGTAGGGGTAGAGGGAGAGACGGAGTGAACTGAGGAGGTAAACTCGTGGTTCATTAATGTTTAATGGGGACAAGTAGGCACTCTTAAGGGGTCACTTTATCTTGTCTAGTCATTAATTTGGGAATGCCTTGGTGACGAGTTAGTGAGGAGGAGAAGACCTATTGGGACGGAGGAGCGTCGTGCAGGTTGTAGCTGGTCGATCTCCCAAGTCCTCCAGATCAAAGGAAAAACAAATCATACAACCTCTTGTGGTCGCTGCATTTCAGTTAGACCTACTGCATACCGAGGCAGACAAGCGCCAACGCCGTAAAGACGCTGCCGCCGCCACTCCCGCACTAGATGTAGCCCTCCACACATGCAACATCTGTGGACGGGCCTGCCGGTCCCGCATCGGCCTCTCGAATCACCTCAGAGTTCACCAACGAAGATGCTATCTTTAATAACTCATATTGTATCATAGTTGGATGATCGTCATACTCGATTCCAAGTGACAGCAAAGTAGTAGTATCTGGCCAGGACCCTCCTATCACCCGTTAAAGCTGACTGAAGGTCCTCATCAACACAACGTCTACCAAAAAAGTCAAATAAGAAATTTATGTTTAATTAACAACTAATTTAATTCCAACATATTTTGGAAAATTCAACCAGAAAGCTAATTATCCTCCATACTCCACTTAACACTACAACAACTACTACAGTACTACTAATGACATCCCTTCTACAATTACGATAACTGATATCATAATATTCAACTTATAAATGACACGTTTTGGTGAAACTCGTGAAAAACCCCAGAGTCTCGGGATAACGTAATTTCACCTGACCTAACCTAATTTAATCTAATCTGTCTTTAATTAACCTATTCTGGCTTAACCTAACCTAACCTAACCTAACTCGATATGGACCCCAGCCCTTCACACCTTCGCCCTCCCCCTCAAACGCTGGACTATCTACAGTAGGCAAGGACGACGGCAGCCTACGAGATAAGTCACGTCGCTCTGAACAATACAAACACCTGCTGTTGAATTATTGAACCGACTACAACGACCATCTCGGTAAGGGGTTGTATGTTGAGGCTCTGGTAGTCTGTGGACGACGACCAACATAGTAGAGTTATATGTTGAGCCTCAGAGTCCGTCAGCGATGTGTGTTGACACCGAGTACTCAAGCGTTGCCCTAAACTTGAACATACACTGTCTGAGCCAGCTAACGCTCTTGCCTGTCTCTTGACCGTCTAATCCTCACGTCGAAGCCCGGCTCTCACTTACTGATAGTTGGACAGTATTAGTCAGCATGTTGCATGGACTTCTCTCCTAGTTTATCACCACTTCACTAACAGAACGAAAATAGTGTTCGAGGCGGAGGTAAAGCGAGGATTAAGACTCACAGTGAGTAGACGTAAGTGAATGCGTCACTTAAGCCTCTTTTATACAAGGCTGAGCTTTTCTGAGGACTCGAGCCAACGTCAAAGGAACAAAACACAGAGAAGTGTCTTAGTATGGACGATAATGTCGACGCTCCACTCTACCTCCATCACCACGATTTAATATTTCAAGGTAACACGACAGATTTCATCTACCCAAGTTAACACCAGTACTAAACTAATGCACCTCTCCCGCCTCTCAAACTGAACTCTGACCTTTCACCAGCCAGACACTACCCACCTGATTTTCGTCTACACCACATAACACTAAGTTCTGATACAGTGTGCTATAAGCTCTCAACTGTGACTTTTTAATTACTGTATATTATATATATATATATATATATATATATATATATATATATATATATATATATATATATATATATATATATATATATATATATATATATATATAACATACACAGGACTTTAACCTTTCAGTGTACTGCATACACAATACACATGAGTGAATCCTGACCTTTTAATTAGTCTTCTGAACCATAACATTTGAGATATTTTATTATTAATACATTCCTCATTGTGATCCAGTTAACGCTTACATAATATACGATAAAGTGTGATCATAGACTCTTGTAAACACACTCTGAATTCTGTCCTTCTTGTCAACTTGGACACAAATATACTTTTAATCTCTAAATTTCAGGTATTATATATACTTTCATATAGTTTGTATACTTTCAGGAAATTTTTAAACATCCAGCCATCTTATATAGTTACAGGTGTTTTATAAACTTTCCAACATCTAAAATACTTTCAGGCATTTTATACAACACATTTTGGACTTTGACATCTCACACAACATGAAGCTATCAGACACACACATGTAAAAAGATCACTTGAAGATTGGCTCCCCAGTTTACTTCATTTAACAAAGCGAGTTTTCCCTTTGGGTTTACATCAGAGAGGAAGTTTTGTTCCATCAATGACACAACTTGAAGGAGAGACTACGTGAGGCTGTTAGGAACAGTTTAGTATGACAAAGTACAATATGTATGGAGGGAAGCACAACGCAATATTGTACCACTTTGATGTCTACAGAGCCACAAGAGGAACTTATATTGAACTTTCGTAGGTTATAAAACTTTTAAAGGTCTTTTTTTATTACCATAGCTTCCTTTTTGCCCTTTTCCTAGTTTCTTCATAATAAATATTTAAAATTAGGAAGATTATTTGAAACATTTAGTTCATAATGACGACACTAGAGGGCAGGTCTCACACTGTAGGTCACCATTAACAAGAAAATCACTCCAGGTCTGAACGTGAGAATTTGGAGTATTCCTCAAGTGAGAAACACTAAATTAAATTATAAAAAAAACCTATCGTAAACTTTATTAATATCGCCCGACTTTGCCTGAACTTTAGGGCTAATTTTGGACGAACTGCTTGAGTTTTAAATATTAACTTTGTGTAAATATTTCATCCACTCTTTCATGGATCAATGCTTTCTGTTGTTGTTGTTGTTGTTGTTAATATTGGTGTTATTATTGGTGTTGGTGTTATTGCTAGTGTTATTATGGAGATTGTTGTTATTGTTGTGGTTACTGTCGTTGTTGTTGTTGTTGTTGTTGTTGTTTCATCTATCTTACTACTTTTTACATCATTGTTACACTTCCGTTTTGGACGATTTAATATTGATAGATTACTAAAAGTCATCCAGGTACAGTCACTCAAAAAACTATCTATACAAAATTGTGTTGAAAAATATGACAACGGACGAAGGATTCTGACAACCCTACCGAGACAGCAGAAGTCTTAGTGTTCATTCTGAAATTCATTGATCACCCCAAGTACCCATAGTTTTTGAGTGACTGTACAGTACTTTAATATGTTTATTATATTGGCTTAATTTATATATTATCACAGGAAGTTTCATTATAGA